TTACAGAAACTTAATTTTTCCAAAAATATTCTATGTACATCGGCTTCATGATACTAGATATATATGTACTAGAAAAAATATGCTAAAGTCACTCGAAATACCATAGATGCTTTTCGAGGATTTTCATCCTTCAGATCTTACTAGTAAACAAACTGGAAAATTTATTTTAACTCTGAGATATTATGGGTCTACTTACATTTTTATTTTACTCAAAGGTTTTTTTTTCCATTAGAAAACGTTCTACCACTAAAATAGCATAAACAAAATTCTTCTAATTCTCTAAAATTCGGCCGAGTTGATGATTCGGCGGCCGAGAAAACTGTCGGCGGTGGGTCACCGTGGCGAATTGGACCTGATCAGAGCATTATGCGGGTGGCCCGAGTTTTCACCGCCGAGACCGTGGTTTAACCAAAAGCGGCGGTTAATAAGCAAAACGGAGGAGTCCAAACTGAGTTTTCACCGCCGTAGCTATCGGTTTTCTCGATCCTTTTGCTTCGTCCAGCAAAAGATTCAACAAGACTTTTCCGCCATTAAAGCTTATCGTTAAGCTTCGTGTTCTCTTGGAGAAGAAAGATCTAGAATTAGAGAGATAAGATTTTATCTTATCTGTTGGATTATAATCGGACGGTTACAAAAATAACTAGTGTACAAGAAGCATTTATCTCTATAAATTAACAAATAAGAACTAAACACGTGTAGATAACATTGGTAACCGACGTCTCATAACTCTAATAGAGCACATATTCACAAAATAATAAAATAACTAGAATTTTAATAATTTAATAACACAAATAAATGTAAATGACATACTAAAATTATGAAAATGTTTGATAAAAAATGAAATTAGATGCAAAATTACTCCCGATTTATATCTCCGAGTAACTGAGCGCCCAACTCACGTCTAGCGCGATCTCGAATAAGGGATCATAAAAGTAATCAATGGTGAGCCCATTATGTTTAAAACAAAAAAAATCTTCTATTTTCTCTACTAGTCAGACCCGGGATTCGAGAAAGGGTTGAAAAATAAAGTAATTTGATTTTTTTGTAAAAGATAATGTATTTTTGAAATATTTACATCTCTAGTTATTTGTATAGTTTCTCAATAGCAAACTATTGATAAGATACGACATATACATTTTTCACTTTTAGCATTCTCGTTCTCTTTTTCAACCCTGACATTTTCTGGTGCATGTAAAAACCATATCATTT